ATTCCACAGAAACCGTTGTGCCGAATACTGCAAAACCTTAACTTTTATAAACGCCGGCACCGAACTCACGCAAAACTACCCAAGTGCGTGCCAAAGACCATTTCTGGGAAGCTCATTCCATAAGACCTTCGCATTTTTCCAAATAAAAGGCCTCCCTTCGGATCTGATTATTTCTCCTCTGCAGGGCTGCGGGAGAGTGAGGGGATGTGAGACTAAGGCAATAGATTAAAATTGAAAGTCCTTCCTCGCAGCTTCATTTTCGCCTTCACACTGTCCCAAATGCTTAGAACCCTCCTCATCAGAATGGGAACGGTACCCTCGCTTGTTCTAAAAGACGCAGACCAGGTCCGTGAACTTGACCCAGGCGCCCACGCCTCTTTTCCCCGAAGGTCCGACAAAAGCGGAAGGGTTGAATGGATTCTTTCCCGGGCCGCGAAGGCCTGGGGATCGAAAGTAGAAGAGAAGACCGCAAACCCCTTTGGTTCAAGCAAGCTTTGTGGCAGGTAAAAGCCAAATTGGTGGGGGCGGGTAGGAAAGAGAGAGCATTACCCGGCTAAATCCCGCAGGCCTCTTCCGATTTGTCGGCGGGGACCTGCCTCCCTGCGGTGTCTCTGGCCCCAGATACCGAGGCCGGTAGCTTTTAGTTGCCTCGCTGGATTTGGTATCTGGTTAGCCGGTGTCGCTGAGCCGCGGGGGGCTCCGGGGTGGAAAGGAAGCCCCGCGCTCGGAGCGCCCCATGCCAGACGGAGTGGCCCCCGCGCCTCCCTGAGCCCCGGCGCGCCAGGTTCACCTTCGACTGGATGTTACTGAGCCAGGGAGAGACCCGGGGATCGAGTGTTCGATCCTCCCTTGCTCCAGGATCCTGAATTCTTTAAACACACGAGCGTGCGTGCGCGCGCACACACACACACACACACGCAGCACTACTACAGTCTGAGCAGGCCGCTCCTCGCAGCCTCCGCAGTCGCCGGATCGCCGGGAAAGACGCGCCGGTTTCCCGGGTCGCACGGCTCTTCAGGCCGCTATTTCCTCCGCCACCGAGTAGGGAGACGCCCCATTTGCAAAGATGAAGTTTCCAGGTCCTGGGAAGGCGGCTGGGAGATCCGCGGGGCTCGGCAGCCTCTGGTGGCAGCCCGGGATCGGATAGCGCGGCAGGCGACAGCCCCCCGGGTAATCCCGCGGAGGGAGGGGCGCTTGTAAAACCGAGCTGCGACGGCCTCGTTACGACTGACTCGAACATTCTCTAATAATTCATCGGCCTTAGCTAGTATTCGTTCGTGTACGCATTTGTTTGCCCTGATTATTAAAATAAATTAACGATTGGACTGCCTAAAATAAGGTAAACGAACATAAAATGCCAAGGAGAAAAACAGAAAAAGTTACACCATGTCGATCCTGACCAAAACATTGGCCTGACTTGCCGGATGGCCTCAAGAATCCGGCTTTCAGCTGCAGACCCGGCGAGTGTTCCCGGGAAGGCAAGGATTGGAAGCTGTTTGATAAAGCCGCGCTGGCTTGGTGGGAGAGGCCCGGCCTCTCGCGTTCCGCGTCCCTCCACAGCCCCCTCCGCCCTTCCCATCCACCCCTCCGCGTCTCGGCCTGGCTCCGGAGGGGTAAAGGAATGTTTATTGCCTGACTCAAGTTCAATGACAAAACCCTGTCTGGAATGGGAGGTGCGGTGAGCTTCGGCCATCAACCTGACAAAGGCTGGGCGCGGGTTTTGGGCGGGGACGACGGGCTGGGCCCACCTAGAGTTGGGCAGCTGAGAGTCCACAGGATGGGTACGGACCCCGCGGACCGAGAGCTGCTTCTCTGTCCTCCGCCTGGGGTCTGCGTAGTTGGGCGGGTAGTGCGGGTGCGTGCCCTCCTGGGTGGGGGTATGGCGATCAGCGTCTGAGTGGGCAAGGGGACGTCTGATTACTGCCTAGGCTTCGCCCGGGGGTCCAGGACCCTGTGAGATGCCCCTGCTCTCTGCCCGTCCAGCTCCAGCTCACCTGGAGCAAGGATCCACACCGTCCTTCTACCCACCGCGACCTGCATTTTCTGGCCTCCTCCTCCGAGTTTTGCTCACATCTTCCCTCCCGGATTTGATATTCCAAGTATCTTCTCCAGGGAAGCCTCCCAGAAGCCCTGTGTGTGTGTGTGTGTATGTGTGTCCTTTTCATTCCCTGTTCCCCGCCCTGTTCTCCATTTGTTCTGATTGTGGTCATTTGGTCATGGAATATAATCCTCTGGCCTCAGGTCACATATGGGGAAGCTGCAGACCCAAGATCTACCAGCATATGAGTCAGGCCTGGTGGGAAGGGAGAGCATTATTTCCATCTCTTTCCTCCTGTCTTCCACCCCTAGTGGAAGATTTTGCTTACTCGATAAATGAGTAGTTGGTTGACATAAATGTCCACATGTGTTTAATCCCCCGTGCTTGCATATATGCGGATCTGTCCAGTGCCTGAGGAGGGACTGGGTCTAGGGCATTTGGGTGCACCTGTGTGATCTCAGCTGGGTGACTTCAGATGGAAGCAGGTGCTTGTTAGTATCTGAAGGGCCTTGTGGGGAGAGGTATGTTGACAATGGAGGAGCCACTGGGCTTTCTATTTTATCAGTTGGTGGTAGAGGTTAAGCCCTCCTGCTTTGGGACCCAGATCAAGTAACTTACCCTCTTAGTTTCAATTTCTTTAGGTTATAAAGTGCTCACTCAATTGTGGATTTTGTCATTATGGGAGGGGGAACTGGCAGGGAAGGAGCCAGCTGTGGGGAGAAGAGAGTTAGGTGAGTCCTGAGTGTTTTTGTGGATTACCGTGCCCACCCCAAGACCAATCCTGTCAGTGGCTGGCTGAAGATGTGAGCATGTGGCCCCCCAGCCTGCTTCTGTACTGGGCCCAGAGCCCCTGTACACACACATGCCTGCTGTGGCACTGATCTCACACTTACCAAGGCAGAGCTTCTGAGAGGGTGCAGGAAAGGGAATAAGGAAGCCTGGGGCCTAGAGAAAAAGATGCAATTATTATTATTATTATTACTATTATTATTATTATTACTATTACTATTATTATTATTTGAGATAGAGGCTCGCTCTGTGACCCAGGCTGGAGTGCAATGGCATAATCTCAGCTCACTGCAACCTCCACCTCCCAGGTATGAGCAATTCTTGTGCCTCAGCCTCTTGAGTAGCTGGAATTAGAAGTGTGAGCCACCATGCCCAGCTAATTTTTGTATTTTTAGTAGAGACAGGTTTCACTATGTTGGCCAGGCTGATCTCAAACTCTTGGCCTCAAGTTATCTGCCCACTTCAGCTTCCCAAAGTGCTGGGATTACAGCCATGAGCCAGTATGCCTGGCCCGTTTTTATTTTTTTAAAGGCCGGAGCTTTTGCCTTAAGGATGAGTTAGTAAAAAAGAATAATAACAATTGTTATAATCACAGTTAACTTTCACCCAGTTTCCTTTTTTAAAAAATTTTATTATATAAATAGAGACGGGGTCTTGCTACATTGCCCAGGCTGGTCTCGAACTCCCGTGCTCAAGGAATCCGCCTGCCTCGGCCTCCCAAAATTCTGGAATTACAGGTTGAGCCACCATGCCCGGCCTCGCCCAGTTTTCAAAGTAGATGTTTTGTAAAATATCATAGTTTTAAATAATAATAACATTAACAATATTAATTTTGCTTGTGCCAGGACTCCATCCGATTGGAGACAAACATTAAGTCTTATGGCGGACCTTACAGCAGGTGCTAGTTCCCACTCCTAAGCCTCTCCCCCGCCCAGGCCCTGCAGGTCCCGCGTGCTGCGAAATATTTTCTTTGTCCCTTTCTGCCCAGGGCGGCTGCTGGTCTCCACAGGAAACAACGAGTAGGTGTTCCCGCCAGGTGGTATCGGTGAGAGCCTGCTGCTCACCCATCTCTTGTTTCCCAAAACCAGTGAAGGCTCCCAAATTCCTGGGAGACCGCCTCCTAGGGCCTCCTGAAGCAGCTACCATACTGAGAGATCCATCGGTAACGCCCTTGGCCCACGGATCAGCTAGTTTACCTTATTAGAGAGAAAAGCACTCTTGGAGGTAGTAAGGTGGGCTGGTCCTTGATCTGAGAAATGGGCGCACAACATCGCTGTTCTCTCTGCAAAGGTGCGGCCCAGAATCCAGCTTGCCTGAGCTCGCAAGCAGGCATCGACCTGAAGGTTTCGGCCTCCCAGTGGCGCTCTGTTCGCACACCTTAGGCTAGGAGAGGAAGGACGGGAGCACAGCACTGGGTGCCCCCTCCCTGTAGAGTCTGGGGCGGGGCTCAGTGAGAAGGCCTGCGGTTGGTGGCTCCCCATCTCATAGCTGCAAGTCGGGGCGAAAGCTGGAGTGTCTCCTCCCAGCAGCCTCCTCGCCTCCCGGCAAACCTCCGAATCTCCCTGGAAACCCCTGGTTGCTGTGGCCCTTCCTCCCTTGACTGGCTTCCTCCCTCTTTCCCAAGGCCAGAGGTGTCCTTTCTTCCCCTCACCTTCCTCCCTCTTCCCAAAAAAACGTTTAGGAAAATGGGGGTGGAGACCACCAGCCTGGAACTTCAAGTCCAATGGCAAAGTCCCTGACCGTCCCCCGAGGCTGGCGCCAGCATTATTCTAGGAGCGATTAAACTCTTTTGCTACCCCCTGTGCCCCTCCCAGTTCGGGGGGCAGTTTAGGGGAGGAGAGGGGGTAATGGTGGAATTCTTTCCTTCACTCTCCCCACCACTTCGTCCCCTCCCCCTCATCCCCTCTACAGTACTAACTGGTAGGGAGACAGGAAGAAAGCCTGGCATTGGTTCCCCATTGGATGTTTTAAATCTGTCTCAGGCCCAGGCCAGCGCCTGGCGGGGAGGGGCGGGGTGTCCTGCTCTTGGGCGAGAGGCCCAGGGCTGCTCCTGAGCTTTCTCCCCTTTCCTGGAGAGCAACTGTCCGGGAGGGTGAGAATGGTATAAATTTCAAAAACAACGAAACCTTCTTTTGCCCCCTCCGCAGCAGTCGCCTCCGGGCTTTATTGCAAGTTTACGGTAACGAGTTCATTTATTTAATTCGCGGTTGTAGCTCGGGGGTTTCTATTAGACAGGACGGGGTGGGGCTGGGGGGCACAGGGTCTCCCCTGAAGGAAATCTAATTAGAGTGCAGCACTTAGAACCTTGAATACAAGTTTAATGAAGGGGAGGAGGGGAGCTGCAGGGAAGAGAAGTTTGCTCTGGGCTGGGGAAGGAAAGCTGGAGCTGCTCCCGAGAACTGGGGGGTCTGGATGACGCTTTTTCCTGCTTCGGGGGCTTTCCACCTTCCGGCCCCGGAACTACTACTTGGAGTACGGATCGCGTGCAGGGAAGGCGGGGCAGTTTCTCGGCTAGCGGCTGCCTGGCAGGGTCCCCGAAGCTCTCGCCAGCCGGAGTAAAACCCAAAAGATGGAGCCTCAGGTTCGCGCTCTGCGTTGCGGGTGCCGGAACCGAGATTCCAAAAGAGCTTCCGGAGGTAGTTTCTACGCATTGCGCCACTACTCCCTTACTCGACTCTGGAGGCCTAATAACATCCACCTGCTTTGGAGTTAGAAATTATTTCGGGTCTAGAGTCCGCGTAGACGCGACCCTCCGATCCCGTTTGGTAGCTTGCTGAAAGACTCGCTGCGGGGGGCGGCGTTTGGCTCTGAGGGAGGGGAAAGGTCTGGAGGGCAGCTCAGAGTACAATTGCGCCTTGTTGGTGAAAAGGCACCCTGCTTATTTTCCGGAGTGTATGTGTGTGCCTCTGCGTTTATTCGTCTGTGAGATCGTTGTCTGGATTCACCTATTGTGACATTGTGTTCACGTTTGTCCGAATGGTAAGCAAAACATTTCCTCCTGTAGCTTAACATAGCCCTTATTTAAAAGTAAATAGCTGCAGGCGAGTGTAGGTTTGTAGATTTTGTTGTGATTTAAACACAAATAAGTGAGAGATTTCAATGTGGTCGGCCGGGGATAGGTGGGAGACTAAAATTGTTTGGGAAGGGATTTCCAATAAAAGGGTTTAATACAAAACGAAATTAAGTATCCTTTGCACAGATTCCATACAAGTAAATCCGAAAAAAAAGTAGGGGGTCCACCGCGAATTGTTATGGCGAGGAAGATAAATATATTACTAACAAAGACATGGACAGAAGGCGGATGGCGCTGCGGCCTGGCTCCCGGAGCCCGACCGCCTTCTTCCATTCGAGATCGCCGTACCGAACCTCCTTGCCTTCTTCCTGGGTCTCTTGGGGGCTGGACCAATACATCTGCCGATGCCCTGGCCGAATGGCAGGCGACATCACGTCCTGGAGCCGCCACACGCAGCCCAGTAAGTACCCAGGAGGCCCCAGGCTGCGGGAAGCCGGTAGCTCCGCGGGAGATGGAAGACTGTCCGCAAGTTCTCCTGGAGTGGTGAGCCTCTGCCGGGAGGGGGCGCCCTTGTCTTTTTAATGGTACTACCACACTAGTGGAATAAATCTCTAAGATTCCACATCTTTTGTTTGCTCTGAATTTATTGCGAGTGAAAAACAGAGAAGACCCTTAAGTTTCAGTTCCTGATAGCAGAGTGTGGGAGTTAGAGCACGGGGAGTCCAGAGGTCCCAGACCCCCAAAGGCCTCTACCAGGGCCATCTCCGTTAGTGGCGGTGGCAGCCCCGCTTGTGGCCTTTTTCCTCTCTCCAAGGGGGCACCCCGCACCATGTCGCTCCCCCTCATCTATCTCGCCGCCTCCCCACAGGCCCATCTGCGCTGAACTCTGGCCAGTTCTGAAGTCGGCGAGGGAGGGGTTTTACTTGCCGGATCGTTGGTCGTTGGTCGGGTTTGAGCGTATACAGACAGAGGAGTAAGAACCTGAGATATTAAACGCTACCCACATGGGGCTTCCTTGAAGGAGGACGTGGAAGGCAGAAAGTGACCTCCTCTGAGCGGTGCATGTAACCGAGGACCTTAAGCTGGACCACGGAGCTTGGACGATTTTTTAAATCAGGAAATGGACCCCCTCTTCCTCCTCCTGGGCCTCTTCCCCTCAACCCCCAGTCCCCATGAACTCACACTCTTTGGCCTTCTCCCTCAGCCCCGTGCTCCTCTTTGGTAAACAGATTTGTAGGAGTCTAAGTCACATCCCACCCTCACCCCTTCCCGGGAGAGGAGCCAGGGCTAGGATCCCACCCGACCGCGGGCCATAAACACTCGAATCCCCTGGCTGCGGCGGCTGCCGCGGGGTTTCTTGGAGAGCTGGCTCCGGAAGGGAAAGGTCCTCGAGGTAGTGGCGGACGCGGCACCCTACCGACTGCTTGCCGCCCCAATGCTCCCCACCGACCCACCAACCCGCTGCTCGGAACTTCGGTTCTACGGGTTCTCCAGACTTCAGGCCTGTGGGCTCAATTGTGGAGAATGGCCTGCAGGCCCCCTCACTCCCACCCTCCACCCCCCACCCCCAGCCTAAGATGCAGAAAGGCCCAGCACGAACCCGTTGGCTTTGCTGCGCGGCCAGGCGATGAGTCCCACAGGGCACTGAGCCCAGGTACAGGACATCAGAGAATGAACGCAGAGGCAGAGGTCCCCATGTCCCTCTCACAGTCCGGGCTCTGCGAAGAGCCCGTCTGTCTGCTGCGTCCAGAATTCCACACTGTGGATCTGTCTACGTGGACCGGGAAAACAGGGTTGGCACCACTCTGCCACTGTTTGTGCCTGGGAAGGGCTGAGTAGGCAAGGCCACAAACATCTACTTCACTGGGCTCCCAAATGCCCAACAAACCATGACCTGCTTTGGTCAGAACCACCAGAAATACTAAAGGAAGACAGACAGTTTGCAGGAGGAAATCCCAGGCACTTTCTCAAACCTTTTTCTCTGGAAGGAAGGACTGACTAGGCGTAGCCTGCTGGCTTCATTTTCACACGACGGTAAAATCATCGTGTTAAGAATGGGGGCTTCCAAGACCAGTGGGTACAACCTACAGGGTGGACAAGGAGGGAGGAAGAGACAACCTCTGCAATTGTCCACCTGCCCAGCTGTCAGCTGAGAAAAATGCTAAACGGACATCACAGCCACATAAGCGAATCTGCCCTTTCCCCTGTCCTCAGTCTTGCTGCTGTTACCAGGATGGGAGGTGTAATGGAAGGGGGTCTGAGAGAAAGCTTCCCTGCAAGGGGATCGCCTTCCAAGTTTATTCATAATCAGCTCAATTCATGAAAGCGGTTTCTAAAGTGCTCTACAGAGCTCTAGATAGAAAATATGAGGCTAATGATCATGGCAGCTAGTACTGGTTATTGTGATTATCGCCACTGTCAGGATGAATGATGATGACTGGGACAGATTCTCTGGGGACCCTGGTGGAGTGGGCTGTCACAAGGGGCTTCCCTCTCCCTGCACATACTGGGTACCCAGGCCACTCCTGAGGAACAGTCCAGGAGCCAGTGGCCTGGGAAGGATGTTGTCTCTAGGGGCCTCTCAACAGAGTCCGTGGCTCTAGCCTGGGCTTGGCAGGTTCCTGGTCTCCCCAGGACACCCCCACTTTCCCTCCTCCCACCCAGGCAAGGAGATCTCTTTAAGGAGTAGCGCTGTTCTTCACCTTGGCAAGAACCTTCTTCTCTTTGACCCGGCGGTTTTGAAACCAGATGGTAATCTGGCGCTCCGAGAGGCTGGTGGCTGCCGAGATCTTGCGCCTCTTGTCCTTGGTGATGAACTTGTTAGCCGCATACTCCCGCTCCAGCTCCCGCAACTGACCCTTGCTGTATGGAATGCGTTTCTTGCGGCCGCGACGAAAGGCGCAGGTGTCAGGAGGGTGCTGCCCGCTGGAGTCTGCACGGGGGAAAGAGAGGGAGGAAAAGGCATGGTCAGATCCCCACCCATGCGGACCCAGATCCTGCAAGCCCCAAGCTAAGTCATCCCACAGGTGCACACAGGTCACCCTACAGGCACACGTGCAATCCTGTTCCTCCAAAGCATACCGGGACACCACCCTGGCTTTGGGCTTGTTCTCTCACCACCGCTCAGCCTTGGTTCCTGAAGGCCATCCTCACCCATCACTGCTCTCACACCCGAGAATCTGCAAACATACCCCCACACCACACACAGGCCTTTGCCCACCATCACATACGTCCACTCTTCATGCATTTCCAGACTCTTGACCACTCTTTTAGATTCTACGGGCAAATTCTGGAAACACGTTTCTGCTCCCACTCCCACTACATGCATATACACACACGCACACACACATATACACACATCCACCCATCCCAATGCACACACCTATGTCATGACTGCAGGAAACCTAAATTTTTCTTTGGAAATTGGAAAACTCATCTAAAAGAGTGAGAGGTTGTATTCTCTACAGTACATCGTATCTCCCACGCCCACTCCCCACTCACCAAATTGAGAGTTATTTAGCCTTTGTGTAGAATTAGTCTGGAATTGTGCTGGGTAGGGACACCCTGATCCCCACTCAACAGCAAAGAGATCCAAACCTCTCAGACATGTTGAAAGGCTGGTCCCAGGGCCTCCTGGAGAAGGGAGGTGGCCCTCAGGATTCAGATAGCACCCAGCTCAGGACCCTCACACAGACCTCCATCCAGGCCCTCAATCCAGCTGCCTGGACCCTCCTTCAGAGTCCTAATTACCAAGGGAGGAGCACCAAGCTCATCCTCATCAGCCCAAGTCTCCCTCCTCCTCCTCCCAGGGAAAAGCCAGTGGGACCCACAACCCCAGGCTCAGAGACAGGGGGACCCAGGGTAATAGAAGTTACCTGCAAATGCTGCCTTCCAGAAGGGACCTGGTGGGTTCTGTTCTCCCTGGCAACACATCTGACTGTTCCAGCCACCAGCGAGAGCCCAGGACTGGTAACTGTCCACGGGCAACAGGGAGTCATGTCGCGGTTCCCCGGGAGCACCCAGAGTCTGCACCACAGACACGTCCAGGTAACTGGCCATAGGCTGGTAGGTTCCCGGATATCCCGGATAGAAGGCAAACTCAGTAGGGCGGCTGGGGTACTCTTCCCCGGCCGTGGGAGTCTCCGCGGGGTAGGCAGCCAGGGTGGCTGCCTGGGCACAGGGTTTCAGTGAGCTCCGGGAAACTCGGCAGGAGTAGTACCCGCCTCCAAAGTAGCCATAAGGCACGGGAGCTGGGGACGTCCCCTGGGGCACCCCGGGGCATGGGTGGCATTGCTTTGGCGGCTCCGCCGAGCCTGGCAGATCCAAGGGGGCATAGTTGACAGCAGGCATCAGCGTAGGCGCCGCTGGGTGGCTGGTCAGAGGGGAGTGGGCGACCAGATTCCGCCCACCTCCCGCTCCCAGCAAGCCTTCGATATCCTTGGCTCCATCCAAGGTGGCATAATTGCCGGGCTCCATGGAGCCGAGGGTCGGCTCATGAGGTGCGGGGGCGGGGAATCTAGGGGGCACCCAGCTCGCTCTCCCCTCCCAGGCCCGGGGAATCCAAAGCGTTTTAAATCGCTCCCAGCTCGCAAGGCGCCTGCATTCGCTCAGCACTGCCGTCTTGACGCAAGAGACGCAGGGGCCCGGGCACACGCGCTGATTGGCTGCGGCCTGGGGGAGAGAAGCTAATAAAATCCTAAAGGCAGAAACTGCGAAAATACTTTACCCCAGCTTATTTTTTCTCTCTCGCTCTTTCTCTCTCTCTCTCTCTCTCTCTCAGCTCTCTCCTCTCTCTCTCTTTTCCCTCTCTCTCTTCTTTTCCCTCTCCACTCTTCTCTGTCTCTCTTTGCACTTAAAAACAACACGAGAGAAAAGGAAGGAGGTGTCCTTTCGCTGCTTTCCAGTTTGCAGAGTCCCAGTTCCACGTCCGGGGGGAGGGGAGGCGTGGTGGGCGGAGGGAGAGGGGATGAGGAGCCGGGCCCCACCTCTTTCTCCTCCCCTCCCTCCCTGGCTCTCTGTCTCCTGCGCTTTGGCAGGTTTAACGAGAGAATAAAAAGCTCTCCCTATAAAGTGTCCATCTCCTGGGGGGGAAGGGGAGTCGGGGGTGGGGCTGGGAGGCCGCTCCCGGCCTCAAAGGAGAACCCGGGAATGCGCCTGTGTAAGAGGAGGCTGGGAAATGGGGGTTAATGGGTATTTCTGGCAGCCCCTGGCTTTGGGTCCTGGGTACTAGCACTCTGGTTCATTCCCGGTATGCTTCCTGTCCCAGATGTCCTGGAATGAGCTGCTCCGGGCCCCAGGGAGGTGCCCTGGACGCCCCTTGCCCAGGGATCTCACTACTGCCCAGAATGCTCTGGAGGCCCTGATTTGGGTGAGGCTGAGGGAAGAGGCGGGAGACACGAACTCAGACGTAGAAGACGCGCGATCTAGACGGAGCCCAGGACACTCCACGTCCGGACCTGAAGGGGAAATAGAGCCTCTAGAGTGGCCTGTGGAAGGGTCTGGATTTCCCTTGAAGTGTGGGGAAAGACGTACAGAGGAACGGAGAGCCACAGGACTTGAGGGAGGGACTGGGAGAGGGAGAGATGAGACCCAGAACAGCAACACAAAGAGGGAAAGAGAGAAGTTGACAGAGGGGATGGGACACAATCTTGTAAAATCCTGAAGTGTCAGTCAGAAAAGAGAAAGAAAAGAGAGTCGCTTTCCCCCTTTTTTGGGATCTAAGGAAGTCTGAGGAAGCCAGGCCTGGCTGACTGCCAGAAACCAGCTGTCGGAGTTCTGGACCCCAAGAATACAGACGCCTGTGTGGAGATGCCAGTCTTCCTGCCCTGCAGCCTTCTCCCTATGGTCTGCAAGGAGCCTAGGAAACTGTCCTGATGCTGGCACACTCCCACCCAAGTTGAGTGCCCAGAAAGTCCGAGACCCCTATCTGCCTCCTCCAAGTTTTAAACTTCCTTAGAAGGAAAAGGGAATGGGAGGGGAAGCCCCAACCATTGGCAGAATTGCTTGAGGCCCCTCTGTTGGGGCCTATTATGCAGTGCAATTCGGAAGAATCAAACGGTTTGTTTCATAAATCTGTCTTTAGAGGTTTTCCACTTCCTTTACTACCCCTCCCAAATCAAATTCTTCTGTCTGCTTTTTCTAGAACTCCCGGTTTTTCTGGAGAAGACAGGAATGTTTCCATTCTACACGAGGGTCTTGGCAATTATATGGAATGGATTACCCCAAACTCTGGGCGGACTCAATCATAGCATCTCACCAACCTGACCTTGAACTTAAGCCACTTTGTGGGAAAGGGCCCACAGGCTGTAGTGCACATCACTCCTAATGAGCATTGCTGTAACTGAAGACACCAAGCACGAAATCTTCACTAGATTTTACTGCATTTGAAAACAATATGGAAGAAAAGGGAGACGTCGTCTCTTCAGTGCTTTCCAGTTTCTCACCAGAGTTTCTTGCTTGTCTAATTATGAACTGCAGAAATATCCAGATTTTTACCTAAACACTAAGAATTTTTCACCAATTTTTACTTGGTAGATGATAGATACATAGGGCATGTCCACAGTTTTAGCTTCCACTAGGCAAACACACACACAAGCACATTTATTCATCCTTGTACAGTAGAGGCATTAATAGATCCCTAAATTTAAAAAATAGTAATAGTCATAGTCATGCCCTATGACCCAGCAATTCCATTCCTGGGCATAAACCCAACAGAAATGAATGTTTATATCCATCGAAAGGCATGTAGTAGTAGGTCCGCAGCAGCTTTATCCATAGTTGCTCAAACCCACCCAGGGCAGTGCACGCCTGTAATCCTAACAACTAATCCTAGCAGAGGTGGGAGGATCACTTGAGCCCTGGTGTTCAAGACTAGCCTGGGGCCAGGCATGGTGGCTCAGGTCTGTAATCCCAGCACTTTGGGAGGCCAAGGCAGGTAGATCATTTGACATCAGGAGTTTGAGACGAGGCTGGCTAACATGGTGAAACCCTGTCTCTACTAAAAATACCAAAAAAAAAAAAAAAAAAAGAGCCAAGTGTGGTGGTGGGCACCTGTAATCCCAGCTATTCAGGAGGCTGAGGCAGGAGAATCACTTGAATTTGGAAGGCAGTGAGCCAAGATCATGCCACTGCACTCCAGCCTGGATGACAAAGTGAGACTCTGTCTCAAAAAAAAAAAAAAAAAAAAAAAAAACTCCTGGGCAACAGGGGTAATAGGGATAATAGGGATACCCCATCTCAAAATGAAACCAAAATATAGTAGCTCCAAATTAGAAACAACCCAAATGTCTATCAACAGTAGCATGAGTAAAGAAAGCATGCTATAATTAAACAATGAAGTACTACACAGCGTTTTGAAAAAGAATAAACCACTACTATACACAACATTGATGAATCACAGATATGTGGATGAAAGAAGCCAGACACAAAAGAGTAGCTTTTGTATGATTCAATTTCTACATTTCTATGCAGTTCAAGGACAAGCAAAATTATGGTATAGTGATAGAAGTCAGAATAGAGATTGCCATGGGGAGAGGTCTCCTGGCTGGAAAAGGACATAAAGAAGCCTTCTGGGATGCTGGAAATACTCTCCATCTCAATCTGTATGCTAGTTACAAGACTTTGTTGATGTGAAAATTCATCAAGCTGTACACTTGGGATTTCTGCACTTTATTGCATATCAGCTGTATCTCAAATACTAAGGAAAAATAATTAAAAACAAAAATTTTTTTAAATTCATTTCAACACTTGCTGAAATTGTGCTTTTGGATATATAGCGTTCTTATCCATGTTCATTGAAATAAGTAGCTAAGTGCATGTAACTGCAGTGTTGTGGAATGCAGAGACGGTTAACTTAAACATGGAGGGAGTGGGGAGAAGGTCACCAGCTGTGCTGGAGACCCTCCTGTAAAGGGATACGTTTCAATACAAATAAATTCTATAGTGCTTGTTTTATTTTCTTTACAATTTATTTAGTATCTGCTAGATCCTAGAGAACAGTTCTGGATCTCGTTTTTATTTTGTTTTATTTCATTTTGTTTCATTCATTTTGAGACAGAGTCTCACTCTGTCACCCAGGCTGGAGTGCAGTGGCACCATCTCAGCTCACTGCAACCTCCACCTCCTGGGTTCAAGTGATTCTCATGCCTCAGCCTCCTGAGTAGCTGGGATTACAGGTGAGTGTCACTATGGCCCAGCTAATTTTTTATATTTTTAGTAGAGACGGGGTTTTGCTGTGTTAGCCAGACTGCTTTCCAACTCCTGGCCTCAAGTGATCCCCCTGCCTTGGCCTCCCAATGTGCCAGGATTACAGGCATGAGCCACCACACCCAGTCTTGGATCTCATATCTATTAACACTTGGGTATGTGCCCCTATTTCCTGTACATAGGTATGTGTGTGCATCTGCCCATGAGCTATCATGGACCTCAACTGGCATCAGTTAAAGTAAGATTAAGTCTCCTTATCTGTAAAATATGGATAATAATTCTTTCCTCACATAAATACTGTGGTGATATAATGAGATTTTGCACATAAAAGCCTTTCACAATCTGAATAAATATGAGCTCTATTTGTATGCCTCCATGTGTATCTGCTTCTAATGAATTACAAGCAACCTGCTTAAGCTTCATAGTTCTTGCATCGGGAAACTGAGGCTCAGAGCCTCCAAGTCCTCCCTGGGGCTCTACATGAGTTCAGCGAGGAAGTCCCTGCACAACCCAGGCGTCCTGATCTTCCAGACTGACTGGACTGAGCCTGCCCTTCCCCCAGCCCCACAGATGCCTTTGTGTCCTGCTGGGAGCCTCCTGGCAGACCCTCCGGGAGCCCGGAGCCTCCCCCAGCTTTCTTTACTGACCCAACCAAAAGCGCTGAAAGCCTCAGCGTGCTCCTTTACATACCGGCCAGACACATCCAGGAAGGTCAAGGCCAAGTTGAAAGTTAAGAGTCTGTTTACCTCCGGGAGCCCATTCAGCTCGGCCCCACAGACCGCCTGTGACCTTTACAGCCCGGCCTTTGAGCGCAGCCGCCGCGCCCCCGGGGGTTCCGGCAACGGGGACTTGGCACCTCCGTGTCAGCTCCCGCCCCCGCCCGGGCTAGGGACCCGCCAACGAGGGGTGGGGGCGGGAGGCGCCCACCCGCCGCACTTGAGGGCATTTGCTAAACTATGTTTTATTTTTTGTAAAGTGAGTGCCCGCTGCCTGCGTTCTCCCAACTGGAGCAACCTCTGAGGCGGCGACGATGGCGGCTGTCAGGTTGGTGGTAATGAATAGAGAGGATTTCTCCGCAGCGCGACGCTCCCCTCTCCCGAAAGGTGGGCTCCGCTGTCCGCTGGCGGCGCGGGTCTGGCTGAACTGCTTGGGGTCGCCCGGTTCCTCTTGGTTTTATGAAAATGGCCTAATTGAGGTGTGCTCTTTTCTTGCCTTCCGCTTTTCATCTTTTCCTTCCGTCTGCATTTTATCTCCTCTGTCTTTAGTCTCGGTATCTTCTTTTCTTTTTATATTTGTGTTTTTCTCACTGCCTTTGCTTCCTTCCATTTCAGTTATCTTGCTTTTTGTGTGCTCTTTCTTGATTTCTTTCTTTTCTTTTCTTGTTATTGTTTACTCTGGTTCCGCCACCCACCCGTTGCTCTGTCTTCATTTTCCCTTTAGTACTTTTCTCCCTGTCTCTCATCTCACTTACACTATTTTTCTCTTTGTTTGCTTTTTCTTCCTTATTTTTCCTTCTTCTCTTTTCTCATTTTTCCTTCCTCCTTCCTTTTGTTTTCTCTCCTCTCTATTTCTTTTTTCTTTCTCTCATCTCCGTTTTACTTCACTTCCTCACCCCACCATACACGTTTTTCCTTTGCAGCGCTCTCACCCAGTTTTTCCATTGTTCTTCTCTGAAGTCTGGAAAGGGCTTGCGAGGCTACAGGTCTCAGGGGCCGGAGCCTGCGCTTCGCAGGGG